AGAGTTGTGAGGAGACAACGACATGTGCAGGATGTATGAATGTCATAGAGGACGATGAGTTCTTCTCAGCTCTTGGCCAAGACTGGCACACAGATTGCTTTCGGTAAGTTCTTTTTTTTTTTTTATCTTTTAATAGAGCATAATCACTTGATTTGTTTATGTGTAGTCATTCATGGATTCATGTATAAGTGTTTATCTAAGATATAGGAATAAACAAATTATGGAAAAATGCAGTGTGAATAGAGATATGAGGCAATGTTTTTTTTCTGTGTTTGATGTATATCTTCTCACAATGATCATGTACATATCTTTTCATGGTTAAAGAATTGAATATAAGGAGTCTCTTTCCAGTGTCAGTATTGCATTTAAGAAGATTTAAATGCTTTTCCTTGCAGGTGCAGTGCATGTGATGTGACACTTAGCAGTTGGTACTTCGAAAAAGATGGTCTGCTCTTTTGTAAAAATGATTATTGGAAGAAGTACGGTGAAGCATGTCAGGATTGTGGAGAGGTGAGAAAGGGATTTCTAAGTTAAAAATGAAAAAATGAAAAAAGAAGCTCATTACTTTTATTTATTTTTATTTGATTATTATTTTCAAAGAAAACAGAGAAAAATGATAATCTTATGACTTTATTCCTTTCTATTTGATTTTTTTTTTTTTTTTTTTTTTTTTTTTTTTTTTTTTTTTTTTTTTTTTTTTTTTTTACTAGCTGCATTCACCCACAACATTCATCCTCTGCCATTTACAGTATTCATGCATATTGCATTCTCTTTTCTTTACCTGTTGGTTACAGATCATCACTGGCCCGGTCATGGTGGCGGGAGACCACAAGTTCCACCCGGAATGCTTTGTCTGTACATCTTGTTCGGCATATATTGGGGATGGAGAGTCCTATGCCCTTGTCGAGAGATCAAAACTGTACTGGTAAGTTGATTTTTTCTTTGTCTTTCTCATTTCAATTTGATTTATTAATTCCTTTATTCTTTATCGCCTGTAACATAGATATGAGTTTGTGTAATTTTTCCCTTCCTAACTCTCCTTCTCTCTTGTTTTTCTCTTGAATTTCTTAATCCTGTGAGTTGAATGTTAAATTTCCATCATTTCATTTGTGGTAATTGTACTATCACTAAATTTGTTTTGTTTTATTATTTGATTTACACTTTAACTTCTGTGTTGTTTGATTTCCAGTGGCCTTTGCTACAAGAGACAAATGCAGCCATTGAATAAATCCACTTCATATAGTAAGAAACCTCATAGTATACAACTTATTGGTAAGTTAATGTGGTTTCTTTACTTATCATATTTTTGAATGAAATACCATTAGAGTGTAGTGGTTTATTAAAAGGAGAAAAGAAGGACAATACTGTTAGTCTTCATTTTATCTCTGTATCTCTCTTTGTTCAGCCATTTTACGTGTTGAAAACTGATCAATTTTACTTCTTATATTTTTCATATTTTCCATATTATTATTTTTTATCTGATCTCAAGGATAATTTTAATGAATCATCTCTATTCCACACAGAGCTGCCAGCAAAATCAGACAACCAGCGGAGAATCAAGTTAAGTGTCGACTCGAGAAAAGGTTTTCCTCTCGCAGGCCTTAGCAACTACAGAGGACTTCGCATAGCAGAGTAAGGTCAAGGTTTTGTGTTAGATGAGAAAGGTGAAGGGATCACTTGCACATTGTATGTCTATATCAGATATTAATGTTGTTTTTCTTTTTAGCTGGTATTATGATTTGTTTCTCGAATTGGAAGTAGAATAATTATTGGACTTACTATTAGTATGCTCCTCCAGAATTATGTAATAAGAGAGATCATGATAAAAGTAAGTCTACAGAAAGCACTATTTCAAGTGGAACTGAAAAAACTATGTCTTTATTGGTCGTATATTCTGAAGCAGTCAACTGAGCCTTTGATGTAGAGAAAATAGGGGGGGGGGGGGGGAAATCTTCACTGAAAATGCAAATCAGATGTTAACCTCCATGCTCAGATCTCAGGCTATTTATTCTGCCAGTCTTTGCACATTTCTCATCAGCAGTCACACTTTACCTTCTCACTCTGACTGGAATGGAAAGAGACCTCCTTATCTGGAATTATGTAGTAACGTTTATTGCCAGTCGAGTGTAAAGGAAAAAATAGATAGGCAAGGATAGGGCTTATGAATCAGACTTTGCAGTGAGTGATGCCACCAAAAAATTACATACAAGATAAATTCAGGAATGAGGTTCATGCTAGTGCATAAATTATGCAATTTAGCTAAGAATAGTGAGATGTATTAGTGAGCTTGCACAAGCTTGAGTCAGGACTTTGATAAGAACTGCTTAGATTTTTTTTCTTTTTTTTTTTTTTTCTTTTCTTTTTCTTTTTTCTTTTTACTTTTTTTGTCAACCTGTTGGATCCAGTTGTGTCACAGAAATCACAGTGCCTCAAAAATATGGACAGTGGGTTGCGTAAGTACCCAACCTCCCAGGTGTGTGGCCCATAGGCCAGAAGCACA